TTATGAACATCAAAAACCTTTTCAGACCCAGCACGGCCTCTTTTTCTTCTTTAGAAAGAGTTTAGCAAAAGTTGAGCCACCGGGCAAGATTCTGTGACCTCCTCGTAGTTATTGCTAGGCGCTTTAGGAGCTCTACCACTGACAAATGAGCTACCAAGGCAACGACTAATGCTCTCATTTATCATTATAGATCGTTTAACCCCGCCTAATTTTTTAAATGCTCTAGGTTAATCATCCTTACATTCATTCCTTTTTCTCCTTTCTATGTAGAAGCATAATTCTAAATTTTACTTTAAATTTAAGATTTTGAATTAGTCATTATACCAATATACAATCATTATTTTGAATCAAAAATCGTTGGAAGATGGCAATCAAAATTGTTTATTGAATATTTTTTATATAAGAAATGGTTCGATGAATTTCAAAAAAGTTTTTAAAAAATTTGTTAAAAAATTACCGTATTTCCTAAAATAGTACTCCCGGGAGTACTATTTTTCAACCCTCCTCCAAAGGGGAGTACTATTTAAGGGGGGAGTGCTAATTCAGGGGGGAGTATTATTTTTCAACCATCCTCCATGATTTTTCATAGGAAAATTTATTTCAAAATTAAAAAAAATATTTTAATTTATTTCAATTTATCTCAAAATAAATTCGATTAGAGTTCGCTATTTGAAAAATGCCGGATCCGGACCCTGATTTTCAAAAAATTTCTTTAATAAAAGTTGTAGAAAATATCCGAATTAGTATAAAATTGAGCAAATTGCGAGACAATTAAACACAAGTGACTTAAAATACGGGTTATTGAGGGAAATCAAAAAGGATATAAGTGAATTTGGAGTGATATCGAGGGATATAAGGGGATTTTCGGGTCTAAGATTTATCAGGGTCAACTAAACCCATGTGTCTAGGGATTACCTAATCTCTGTCTAGTTATTTATCATATTAAACACCGATATCCTCCACATCCCTTTTGTACTTCCGATATTAGTTGATTAAGAAGGATTTATGATTCAACTTATCGCTTAATCGCTCTTAATCAACCAAAATCGCCTAATATTACTCCCCCTTCATTATTCCCTCAAATTCCTATATCAAACCTTAATCCAATGATGTCTTTTAAATGCCACTTGATTAATACAGAACCCATTTTACACCCGATATCAATCCCTTTATATACCCAAAATCCACTTTTACTCCACCAATTAATCGGATTATATCTCTTTAATCCTCGAAAAATTTTAGTTTAAAATTTCGATTCGTTTTCGGTTAACCGAAAGCTCTCAGGTTTTGTTTATCAAAGAATCAAGTGAAACCGACAACGATACTTAGAATAAATAAAATAATTCAATGTCTCGTATTATTTTTTTAAATATGTATAGAGGAAAAATATTTTTGGGGGGAGTACTATTTTAGGGGGAGTACTAATTCAGGGGGGAGTACTATTTTTCAACCCTCCTCCAAAGGGGAGTACTATTTAAGGGGGGAGTGCTAATTTAGGGGGGAGTACTATTTCAGGAAATACGGTATTTTATAAAATTTTTAGAAAATAATTTAGACAAAAAATTAATTGGAAGCTGGCAATTAATATTTAAAAATTATTGGAAGGGTGAATATTTTCAACAAAATTATACATATTTCGTATTTTAAAATGCCAAGTGAAGAGGAAATTGAGAGAGAAGTTTTGGTAAATAAATTTTGCTTGAAAATATTAGGTTACATAATTACTGTACCTCTAAAAGGGACATTAATAAATAGTCATTAATAGGGACCGAATTTAGGTACTTTTCCGTTATCTCCCCACATTTTTTCTCCTTTCAAATGGTCAAAAACTACATAATAGAAAGGCAGACTAAATTCGACTTCCTTCTTTCCAATTTCCTTCTCGAATATCAACTTCCTAACGATAATACGATTTTCGGCAACATTCATCCTGATTTCCAATATTTAACTTCATTTCTGTATGTTCGAGGGTTGTCCGATATATCTACATCCGACAACTATCTAGGGAATGGGTAGGTCTTCAAGAGATAGGTAGATAGAGGCCTTCATGCCTTCAGATATACCTTTCAGCCTATCTTCAATTGACAGACCTTCAAGCCTATCTAGGAAAAAAACAGGCATTTGTCTAAAGACACTTGCGTTAATTATTATACCTAAATACGGAGCAGGCCGATATACCGTAAGCCCTGTATACCGCCGAGCTACAACTACGTTCAAAATTGTCGAATCCGGGACGCCTTGGTATAGCTCGGTGGTATACAGGGCTCGCGATATATTGGGGCGTACCCTCTAAATGCTAACAATTTATTTTTCTCCACATTTTTCAGAAAACCTATCTATATACAGAGGAATACTATAAAAAACAAATTTCTTCCCCAATATATTTACAAACAGCCAAGTTTTGTACAGAACTCAGTTTAGAATTTGAATCAAATTCTAACACTAATAACAAAAAATATTTTGAAAGAATGGAAATTATAAAAAAAAAGTTTGGTATCCAGAATAATTTGGGTTTATTTGTTGCTTCTTGCATTCAAATAGAATTAGAAGGGGGAAATAAATCGGTTAAAATTAAAAAGCAAAAAGAAATGCATTTGGATTATTTGGTTAATTTGTTTGTTAAATATGAGGATAGCGAGATGAGACAATTAATGGATAAAGAGGATATTGAGAGATTTGTTCAACTAAAGAATTTTGTTAAGAATAGTAAAGGTAAAATGTTCACATTATAATATAAGGCAGCACATTTAAAATGTTTTAAAATGTCCTAAATATAGACAAAATAAATGTCATTCGAAATTATTTTGAATCAAAAATTGCTGGAAGATGGCAATCAAAAATTGGTCTGGGGCACACTAGGTCTGGGGCACCCCAGGTCTGGGGTCCCTAGGTCTGGGACCCCTAGGTCTTGGGTCCCCTAGGTCTGGGGTCCCTAGGTCTGGGGTCCCTAGGTCTGGGACCCCTAGGTCTTGGGTCTCCTAGGTCTTGGGTCCCCAGATCTGGAGCACCCTAGGTCTGGGGCACCCTAGGTCTGGGACCCCCAAGTCTGGGGCCGTTCTTTATCCTATTCCACGAAATTTTTGAAAGTTATACTCGTTTTTCTGAATTTTTGAAAACTGGCTATAACTTTAAAAAATTTCGATGTCAAATGACACAACACTACAATTATGAGGGCTTGAAATTTTCAAAAAACAGACTTTATTTAAAGTCGTTTAAAATGGTTTAAAATGCCCTGAAAATGTCCTAAATTACGATTAATAATACAATTTTACATTTTTAGGATATTATTAAACATTTTAAATGTGTGGTCCCATAATGAGAAAGGGACGGTGCTGGTAAAATTATTTGAGGAATATATTAGAGATCGAAAATCTCGATTATCGAGGTCATTATTTTTCGAGATTTTCTTAAGATTTTCATGCGAGAAAAATTATTTTTTTGAGACTGTTTAAGTGAGACAATTAACTTATAAAAAATTTTTTAAATTTTAAAGATTTACTAGAAAACTTAACTGGAGTAAACCCAACAAACTTTTTTTCGTTGGTAAAAAATTATAAGAATAAAAATAAAAACAAAAATAAAGAAATAATTGAAAGTAAAGAAAAACAAATTGAAGAAGTTCAAACTGAAATAAAGGTAATTAAAATTGTATAATGATCAAAGTGAATAAATAATTTAGAGATTGAGTATTTTTGATAAACATTCAAGGAGATAGGTGTTCATAAATTATCGACAGTGCCCCATCTTATTCAATGTTCTCGGCCCAAATTCTTTTAGGGATCGCGAAGATCACATGTTCCTTAACGGCCTTTGCCTTTCAAAATCCATTTCCGATTTAATCATAATTTATACATATATTCTTTAATTAAGCATGCTGACATAGCTTCTACTAGCGGAACTAAAGTAATTATCTTAAAATTAATTTGGGGGTTTTTATTAGTTTTCTTTATTATTAATTAGGCACTTATCCGTTATCGAGTGGCTGTCAATAGCTTGATCTAATACAAATTAATTTTATATCATTTGGACGCACTCGATAAGCAATATCTTTTTTCCAATTTGTTGGATTAGGTCTGATCACTCGTGAAAAAGTCATAACCCGATATATGTGAAAAACACCAAATAACCGGACTATTGGGATAAAATTTTTAATGAGTGATTTTACATGAGCTATCCTATTAGAAAAAAAATAATTTCGAATAATATTATATAAGATTTATTTCGATTGTATCAGGATAAAAGTTATAGTCTATCAAAACGGCTACTACTAAGTTGTGGGCATATAACGGATAAGTACCATTATTTCCCCGATCAAAGCCCTGTTTATAATCATTTATTAAACAGGAACATGATATGGTTAAAAAGATCTTCAACAAGTCAGAGACTGATATTATAAAGGAAAATAATTCTGACGAAAACGATGAGATCAAAAGTGTAGATAAAAATAAATTAATATATGAAACAGTTGAAGATAATATTGAAGAAGATAAGGCTAACGAGCAAATTGATGAGGGTTTGTATTTATAAGGCATTAAGTGGAATTAAAAGACATTTGGGATTGGGTTTTATATTTCGGTTTTAGGTTAGTAGTAGCACGAGATAATCTCGCCCGTTACCGGGATCCCGAAACCGGCCAACTCTACTATTAAGAGATTGTAACGATAATTAGTCAGGTTAATTATTTGAGCTTATATGGTTTCAGCTCATAAAACAGATTGCTTATTTAGAAAGATGCTGTTATGCAATAATAACTCCCTTCTCATTATCAAAGCTATCCAAAAAATTTTTGAGCTAGAATTCAAAAATTATGGCCAAAAGTATACTATAACCTCAGAAATACCTATTGAAAAATGCTTAAATTTCTGGAGGAAGACCAGGATGTTAAAGAAATTTGAGAAAATTTTCACGAACTTAGGTTTCAACTAGGCTTAAGTTTCGAGTCTCGCGCTTAACGACCCCAATCCCCCAACACTTTTAGATATTCTTTAACTTAAATAACAATGCACCTACTTTTAATAGATAATAATAATGATATTGAAGATAAAACTGAACGTAAATTGATGATAAAATTGGAAAAGAAACAAAAAGCTTCTGAACTTACTGAAAGTAAAAGAAAAGATTTTTATAATAATATAGAAAATTTTGCCAAAAATGTTGAGCTAATAAATTCGAGAAAATCAAAAAACAGTGATTTAAAATCTAGAAAAAATTTTTTTAAAGAAGAGAAAGAATGGGAAGAAATTGGAAATTTGAAAAGTAAATATTTAATTAAGTTTAGATAAATTTTTTAAATAAAAAAGCAATAGGGAAGATATAAAATTATGTTACGATGAATTTGAACCAGAAACTATTTTTCCCCTCAAAATTCAACAATATCTCGATAGTAAGGTTGCGGATAGTTGGAAATCTTCGGATATCCGGATCCGGTATCAAAACACAAAATTTCCGGATATCCGGCCTTTTCTCGGATCCGGATATCCGGATCCGCCAGCCTTACTCGTTAGTCAAGAGTGGGATCGACTGTATTGCGTAAATGTTGGTCCAGCTCGAGGGACATATACCCGCAAGAGGCTTTTGCAAATTTTGAAGATTGTAATAAAGCTTAAAAATTACCTATATGATTTCCCTTACTTCCGCAAGACTACATACATATCAACCTATATTTGATTAGCTGCAGAAAATTAAGAGAGAGAGGGAGAGAGAGAGAGAAAGGGAGAGCTTTTGTCTATAAATTAATAAATACCTAATTTTAATTAAGATATCTACTGGGATTGACTGTGTTGTGTAAAACTGTGTTGTGTTTTTCTCCCTCAAAATCTAAGGGGAAGGGGAATGCCCACCCCATAGTTTATTTTTAAATTCATTCATTTAAATTAAAAATATTGAAGAATAAGTTGGAAATTACCTAATTTTAATTAAGATATCTACCAAATTTTTAAAAATACGTCTGCTAATAATACCATAGAAGATTATCTACTAAATTTATACTCAATCCGTCTAGAACACTTAAATAAATTTAAAAATGATGATAATACTTTATTAAATAAAGAGGAAGAATTATTTTTAAATTTATTTATTTTAATTAAAAATATTGAAGAAAAATTAATTGGATCAAGTTTAATTTTAAAAACAAATATTTTTGAAGAAATTGAGGAAATAAAAATTAAAAAAATATTAAAACAATTTGAAAAATATTGGATAAAATTTAAAAAGGATAATTTAATTAATTTTAATGGAGAAAAAAATAAATTGGAAAAATATAAAATATATATTAATAAATTAATTAAAATTGATGTGATTTTAGCAAAATTGCCACATTCTTTTTTTAATATAAACGAAATTGAACAAGTTTTTACAAAGGAATTTAAGTAGTATTTTAAATTTAATATAGGGCCCTGATTTTTAAGTAAATACATAGGTACCTGAATAGATTGTATAAAATGCTAAAATGCTTTCAGATGAATCAAAGCCAGGGGGTCGATAGATAATTTAGAGTGGTCAAAGTTGAAATTATTATTATTAGGAAATCATTAAAATCTAAGCGAGAGCCCACTCCAATTTGGTAAAAATAAAATCAAAAAGAAAATAAAAGAACTTTAGTTAGTCAATCAGGTCTGCATTTCAAAGCTGACTGAGATCATTCCAAATTAACTAAACTTTCACTTTTGTGTACTCACTCCCTGGGCCTCTGTGAAACGCACATCCATCCCAATCTTGAAGAGGAGGGCCCCTTTCTATTTTCTTCATTCTTACGAGACTGATCAACTTACCACCTTCAATGAAGAAGGAGGGAGCTTAAAGGGTATGTTAAGAATAACAATTGATATATCGAAAGATAAATAATATCAGGGATGTTAACATGTATAAGGGGAAGGGGAAGGGAAGTACATATAAGGAGAACGGCTTCAATTTCTCCAAATAAATAAGAATTCAATAAGGGGAAGTATAAGAAGAACGGCTCAAGTTATTCAACACAATATACTGTAATTTAAATTAATATTTTTTAGTAATTTAAATGAAGAATTAAATTATTTAACTGAATTAAAAGAATTAAATTTTTATAATTTCGTATTTTTATTGGCAAGAAAATCTGAATTAATTTTGGATAATATTCGAATTCCAATTAAAAATTTTAAATACTTCAAAAACTTTTATGATAAAGACGGAATTATTAAAATAAAATTTTTCAAAAATTTTTCCATGATTTTGGGGGAAAATGATAAAATTACAATGAAGGATTTGATTGATAAATTATTAATAAATATTAAAAATGCAAAAATTGTTTTATCACAACAATTGATGGGTAAATTAATTTAGTAATTTAAAAACGGAAAAGTTCATCTCAATCTGTATCAGTCAGTCTGAACCTATAACTCATGAAGGAATGGTAACATTTTCATGTTCTTGGGATCATTGGATAGAGAATCAAGACTACAATATTTCAAAAAATCAGAATTTTTGAACGATTGATAAATAGTTTATGATCTAAAAGCTTACTTCTTCAAAAAATGATATTTTTCGGCACTTTACTATTATAACTTTTTTATCAATCAATCAAAAATTCTGATTTTTTGGTATTTTGTAACATATTTAGTGCTCTATCAATTAGTACCAAGATCATCAAAAATGATCAGCCCTTTGATAAGTTATAGGGCGCGCGACTGAGCTGAGCGCAGACTGAACTGAGGTGTGCTCATACAGAACTGAGGCGTATTTTTAGTCTTAGTTAAATTATAGTATTCGTTAAAAATAAATATACATTAAAAATAAATATACAAATCAGGGACAAAAATTAAACAAAATTAATTCCCAACCCAGTAAACATAAGGTTCATGATTATGAGATCTTTCGGGAAAGGTTAACTAGATCTCTCAAACAACTACGTTAATTATTTTTAGATGAAAAGAACCAAATGGATTATTCAACTCAAATTGTTAATGATAGATGGCTTAATCCTACGTATTATAGCCTTAGCCAAGCTATTAATTTATCAGATAATGAGCAAGTTAATAATAAGGTAAGAATAAGTATAAAGTATAATGTCGGTTTGGAAATGAACTAAAATTGTCGATTTTTGGTCGCGATTTCGTGTATCCAAAGAATTTTTATGAGCAACAGTCCTACCTATATTGTTTCCTTTAGGTTTCTGATTTTCAAATTTTTGTGATACGAGGGGTTTATGGTAACTCAAAATTCTCAAAAATTTTCGCCTACTTATAACAAAAATATTATACTATGCGGGATTCTTCAGAAAAAAATTGATAAGTCCTATCCTTATCCGAAAAATTATACATAGAAACTGAATTTTTAATTTTAGTTATTTACTTATTTGGATGCAATTTACTTAATAAACGATAAAATTCAAAAAAGGAGGAACACAGCTAAAATGTGGATATACAATGAAGTCGAAAATTGGCTTAAACAAACATGTTTAAAAAATAATAAAAAATATTCAGGTATTAAAATTATAATAAATCAAGATAAATGTCTAGTAGACTCCCTACCAGTCAGAAAGGTAGTGAGTATCAAGACTCCGGTACTCCCGGTACCGATAAAATCTATTTGCCAAACACTAGTAATAAGGCATTTGGAGGGTTTGCATTTTCTTGTTTAGATTTAGACAGATTGAGATTTATATCTTCCTGTAGTAAAGCAGCTGGGCTATAGCTATTTCTCTCCTTTAGCTAATGCAAAAGGTTATTCGGCGGCTTGGAGCGAACCAGCATCTTCAGTAGACCGGACTGATGTTATCCATTACACCACGCCGCCTACTGCACAGCCTTAGGAATTAAATAGCTATATGCTTTACACTATGTTTTATTTCTCAAGGGTTTTCAATGGTTGTTGGAGGATCAAGTTTAATTGGAGCAGATAGTGCTGACTCTGATTTAGATATAATTTTTATTATTCCTATAATTTGCTTACTAAACAAAGAAATAGATGAATGTAAATTGTGTAAAAACGGCATAAATAAAAATCAACAATTATGTACAGATCATGATTTATTATATGGCGAAGGAATAAATAATGAATCATTTACATCACATATTTGGGGCGTTATTAATGATATTAAAAAAGAGAAGGTATACTTTCTGTTCATGGAGTGAGATTTGGGGGATCCCTAAGTGTCAGGTCCCTAAGAGTAGGGTCCCCAAAAGTCTGATCCCCAAAAGTCGTCCCCAACTTTCATTTCCCCAAAAGTCTGATCCCCAAACCTCGGATAGCCGTTAAAATAATTACCTATTATAATATTATATTTATTTTTGACAATAAAAATAGCAAATAAACAGGTATTACAGTATATCTCAAATAATTAACCTGGGTAATTATTTAGGAAATAACTTGGAATTTGCCCTCTTCCGACTCTGCTTGAAAAGCCTACCGAAATATAATTTCCATAAAATACAAAAAATATTATTATTACTGTTTCAACTGCAGCTTGAGGGTGTTGAAGGAATAAATCGACGGGTCAACTATTTAAGTTTTAATATTCATAGGGGAATTATTCGGTGGGGAATTATTTGGAGGAATCATAAAGGAATTAGTTCAGAGAGGATAATTTTAATAATTTTAACGGCATACACAGTAAATTTTTTAAAATTTTCATTATTAAAGGTATCATCTGCTTATCGAATAAATATCATCAGAGGTCGAGTATCATCAATTAATATTGTTTATGCAAGTCAAAACATGGATATTTTATTTGCTGTAGTTCCATATGAAAAAATACCAGATTTAATAGACCTAAACAATCATGAAGATAAAGAAATCATTGAAAATAATTTGAATTTAATGGATTCGCTGATTAATGATATGATCAAAATTAATGGAATATTTTACAATCAGAGCATATTATTGCTAACTGGTTACCGTTTTATATACCGCACAAATTTTTATTTAATTCAACCATCAAGGAGGCAGATTTTCAAATATTTACTACTTGCAGTGAAATTATGGGCAAAAAGTGATTAAATATTATTTAATAATGAGGGTGCCGTTGCGATCGAATGGCGGTTCTGTTTGGTTCATATTCGGGTAAACAAAGAATTTGGGGAAACCGACAATCCTGTTAATGAGAGTACCGTATAGGTTGAAATAATATCCCTCTCTCAAATAGATATTCAATTCATACTTAAATTATTACCCCCTTCAGCAAGGGATTGAACAATAAATTTCAGTGTATACATATGGTAATAGAAAGGGAGCGGATTTATATTATCAAAAGCACAAAGATAACCCTGCCGTGAACCAGTCTCAGCAGTGTCCGACCATTGAGTTCAAG